AACACTGAGCATATTTAATGCACGATCTTTGTTAGCCAGTGTTCAAGTATTTGACTCACTTTTATTCTTTCTCTTTTTCTCTTTTTTAAACCAATGAATTCTCAGAACTCTTGGGATACAACTTCTTTTTGATCTATTTCTTGCAAAAAATTGTTTTTGAAATTCCCTTTGCAGGACTCAGAGAAGAGGTTTTCTTAATTAGGCCCAAATCCAAGTGTTCCATTTTCTATAAGGTGGATAAGTATATTGGTATTATACCTGAGACATTTCTATTCAAGACTAGTTCACAGAGATTTTTCTTTTCTCTTTTCCTCAGATAGTTTTATAGTCCTAAGCTTCGTGCTTGGATAACATTTTATAGGAGGTAGGAGAAGTGAGCTTTTAGCACATGGATACAGATTGTCTAGGTGTATAGGCAGAAGGCGCACACAGGAAGACGTAAGAGTGGAACAGCATTCAGTGTGCACAAAGATCAGCCTCCTGAGATGATGGCATGCAGCAACCTCTGTTGCCGGAAGTTTTCCTGTTTCCCAGCCTGCCGGAGGTCGGGGACAAATCTATCCCACTTGCGGCCTCAAGTAAACATACAAAGGGTTATATTAATTATAACTGCATGGCCATGGCTTAAGCTTTTAACTAGCTAGCTCTATATCTTAAATTAGCCCATAACTATTAATCTATGTATTACCACATGTTCCGTGGCTTTACCTGCGTCCCATCACATGTTGCTCCTTGGGCGTCTCGCTGACTTCTCTCTGCGCCTTCTTCTTGGCTCGCTCTTTGAATTTCCCGCCTACCTCTAAGCTGCCTTGCCATAGGCCAAATGGCTTTACTTATCAACCAATCAGAGCAACACCTATTCGCAGCATACAGAAAGACATTCCTCCATCAAACCTCATCTCCCCAATATGTCCAACTCAGTTAAATGTCAGGCCCACATGTTTGACTTGTTTCTCAAGTTGTTTTGTATTTTTTTTTGTCCGTTCTTTTGGTTTATGCATCTATACTTTTGCCAAAACCGTACTTTCTATGTCTTTGTTTCTGTCGCTCTGTGATTAGGTGGTGTCATTTCTGCAAATTTGGCTTCTTTTTTTCTAAACTGCTCAACAAGACTACTTCTTTTGCATTTTTATGCAATTTGAAAGTTATCTTGTCCTGGAGAGAGATGGCACATGCTTAAAAGCATTGGCTGCTCTTACAGAGGACCCAGGTTTAGCTCCTAGTACCTTCACAACTGTCTGTAATTCTAGTTTCAACATCCTTTTCTGGTCTCCTTGTAGATCAAGCATGCACACCATGCTCAGACATGTAACGAGTCTTTCTTCGTTCCTCCAGATCCCAAATAATAACACAGAGTCTTATTAATTGTGAAAGCTTGGCATTAGCTTAGGCTTGTTTTTAACCAGCTCTTTTTACTTAAGTTTACCCATTTCTATTAATCTATGTTTTGCCTTGTAGCTTTTTACCTTTCTTTCGTTCTGTATGTCCAACTCTCTCAGCGTTTTGTTGGCATCTTGATTTCTTCTTCTCTTTCTTTCTCTCCTCAGAAATCCTACCTATCTCTCCTAAATAGC